TAGTGCTACGTCAACAGCCACGTCAGTAGCCCGGTTAGAAGCCCCGACCAACCAGGATACGCTGCGTGGTAGGGACACTGATGCGGGAAGCATCGCGGGACGGAGACACGTGGGCGATCCGCGTGCACACGATCGGACGGGCTAGATTCGTTCCCGCGCGCACGGACGGCCCAGATCAAAGACGCGCGTGGACGGCCCAGATCTCACGCGTGCGGACGGTCCAGATTTGATCACGCACTGACAGCCCAGATCGCATCGCGGTGGATGATCCAGATTTATTTTCAATTTAATCGCGATCGGACGGCCCAGATTAAATCATGATGGACGGCTCAGATTAAAAGAGGAGGGTTATAAATAATCGCATCCACACCCAACCCCAAACCCTAGCCGCTAGAACCCTCACCGGAGAAGATGACCTAGCCACTGGAGGAACCAGCCGCCGCTGCACCGGAGGATTTTCGGTCGCCAAACGAGGTAAAATTTCTCTTCTTGGCTCGTTTTCGATGTTGAACCTCCCTGTGGCCAAATTGGAGCCAAACCACTGGCCAATTAGTCGAAAAACACCGCCGAAGCCCAGCGGCGCCGCCACAGGTTTCCTCAGTTTTTACCTTCGATGAGGCCCTTACCACCGTGACCACCATCATTTTCTCTACAGGTTGACCGGAGTAAAACACCAAACCGCAACTTGTGCCGGAGGAGTCGTTACACCCGAGAGCTCCGCCGCCGGTAAGCCTCGATTTTCTGTAATTTGTTGGCTCACCAAGGGCCTAGGGATGTTTTATCACAGTAACCAATGCAGGTTTCGCCGAATTTCGCCAGAAATGGCCAACCCGAGGCGGATTGCCGTCGTGGGCGGCGACGCCGTCGCCGGAGCACGGCGGAGCCGCCGTGCCGGAATTTCAAAATTGGCCGAAAGGGCCCTGGGTCTGATTTGGAGTTTTTTTAGGGACATGTGCTGGTACCGGAAGTGTGTTTCAGTTTTCAAGAAAAAATTCAAGGAATCTAGGGACTGCCCGTAGGCACAGTGAGAACCCGATTTTAGACTCCGTAACAAGTAAGGATCTCTCACCCTATTTCCTATTACGGTATTAAAGCTTAATAAATGATAAAACAGTATTTATGAATTAATAGATATGTATAATTAATTAAGGTTGCTAATGGAGTCCGAAATTGATGTATTTTTCGGTCAGTTGTTATTTGATTTATTTTACAATTTTAAATGCAGTATGGTGTCTGATGTATTTATTTTATAGTTTCGTATGCATGAATCACAGTTTCATTTATAATAGTTTGAATTATTATGAACTCGATGCTGTATTGCCTTGTTTGGTGTCCATTACTAGTTTACGTGTTTATGTTTGATTGGATAATTGGGATTAAAAAAAGAATGGAAAAAGGTATGCGAATTAATAAATGGATAATGTCGACAGCTTGATTAGATATCCTGGGAGATGGTGGACGGAACAGGTCCATAGGGAACCCTACCGGGAACATGGTTTCTCATATTGGACGAGGTATGGAGACTTTATGTGTTTTGGCGCCCATACCGGACGGGGTATGGGGACGGCCCGTTTCACCCTCATACCGGACGGGGTATTGAGGTTTATGGTTTTGGCGCCCATACCGGACGGGGTATGGAGACGGCCCTGGAATTAAGTTATTAATGTGTATAGTTCACATGTAGTATGGACCCCCTATGGATCCTCATGGATACTAGTAGGCTGATAAAAGAGGAAATTTATTGCCTGATTATTGAAATACAAAAGCATGATATGTGCTATGTTACAGAGTGTGCATGATCTTATGATGTTTATGATGTTATTGTTGCTCATAAGTTGTTTTCATGAATCTCACCGAGGTAAGTGGATAGTAAATGTTTTTATTATTGATAAATAAGTTTGTTATAAATTATGCTCCATTGGTCGTTTTTGTTTTCTACAAACCTTTACTTCTGTGACAGTGAGATAGTGTGATGTCTTTACTGGACTAGTGTAGCTCATTCCTTACTTAACCATTTCATATCAGGAGGAGTTGGTTCCCGAGCTCGTTCTGCAGGAAGACGGCGAGTTGAAGCTAAAGAATTTATTAGTTTTCCTTCTAGCATTCATTCATAGTATTTCCTTTAAGTTAGTTAATTCTTTCATACGTTTAATTCGTTTTGGTTATTGTGTAAGGGATGTTAATCATAATCTATTTTATTTCGCTTCCGCACTTAGAATAAATATATACATTTCCTTTTAATTTCCGGGGCCGTTACAAATTAAAATTCATTCTTAATTTGTATTATATTAATATTTTATAAAACTTAAGTTTTTAAGAATATTTATTGGTCTCAAAATTATACAAGGTTAAGTTTCATTTTTGTTCTTAATTAATAATTTAATATTATATCACTAATAATTTATATTAGTAATTTGTTATTAGAAGGATTATAAATAACCAATGATATATAATGAATAGTCTAAAGAAAATTAAAAGAATGAAAAATTAAGATGAATTATGTTACAGAAAAAACAAAAGTAGTAAGATAGAAATAAATATATAAAAAAAAATAAACTTAAAAAAAAACCATTAAGCCGTCGAAACAACATTACACCTCCTGTAAATATCTCACAAGCCTCTAGTTCCTCTCGCAACAAAATGTGGTATCTCTTTTTTAGCAGGTTCAAAGGAAGCACATCCCTAACAACAAACCAATTTCTTGACACCTCCACCTCAGTTTTATCCCATTTCCAATGTGACTCCAGCTCATAAAAGTTGTTGAAGTTGTTGTTGGTGTACCTGGTGCCATTATTGGATCTTACATCTTAATCTTCTCTTTATACTAACTTTTAACTATTCTACTAAATCTCTTGAACACTTTAAACACTTCAATTTTAAATTAGCGACACTGGTGGCTGATTTTTACTTTGGGCTGAATGAAGGATCCTTGGCTTTGCTAAAGCCTTAGTAGGTGTTTTGGATGAGGTCAAGGCACCAAAATGAAATAGGGTGTGTAGGCCAAGTATTTGACGTTGTTGTTTCTTCACGAGCTCTTAGTGTAACTCTAAATTTGACCTTAAAATTATAAATGAATAATATTTATGGGTTTAGATATAAATTGCAGATAACCTAAAAAAATGTATAATTTGTTAGGATTTTTTTCTCTTGATGAACATGATGATATATATTAGATAATTTTCTGAATCTAAATACATAAGAGAAGAAGAATACGTGTGACACAGAAGAAGTCCGTGGGACAATTTCTTAGCCTCTTAGGTACAATGGTGTGAATAAATGATAGGTTAACATGTTAAGAGATTGTATCATAAAATTGTTGGACAAAGCACAAAACTTGATATGAATTTCCTCAAATATAAATCTGCTGCAGGCTCTACAGGTAAAATGGTATAGAATTCAAGGCTGAGTTATTTTAGTCGATACTTTAAGTTAGAGTTATAACAGATTAAGAATTTTGTTGAATTCTTTTACAAATTTAAAGTTTTCTTCGAGTTAGTTCAAATTTTATAATAAAGTTATTTTATGAATGAGATAAATTTAAAAAATATCACAAGTTAACAGTACGAAAATTCTAGCTTATATATATGTTTTGCAATTCAAATGAAGTATATTATTGAAACAAATAATTTGATTAACGAATCCATTTCATCAATTTGAGAAGAAAAACAAATTGATAGTAAAAAAGAAGATGAGCGCCTCCACTTCATACATCAATCCCATGAACATAACCACCTTATTGTCTATGGATAATTGAATTAATAATATATCTTTTTACATATTGAATGATTTAATGTAAGTAAAAATAAAAGAACTGCATTAAATTATTTATAAGATATTGGTGTATTTAAATAATATATTAGTTAGTAATTTGGCTAGAATTACTTCGCATTTTGGATAGAACTAACTAATTAGAGTAAGTAAATAACAATTTAATTTTACCCTAAATGTTAAAAATTCAGATAATTTAATTCATATCCCTCTTAAATTGCGAAAATAAAAAAATTGGGTTAACAAAAATAAATTAAAATTTTCATTTAAAACATAATTTCCATTTTTTCATATTTAATTTGTTCTAGCATTCTCACATCCCTCTTAAATTGCCAAAAAGATTTGGGTTAATAACAATAATTTTTAATTAATTAAAATTTTCATTTAAAACATAATTTAGATTTTTATATATTTAATTTATTCTACCATTGATTCTTTTTTCAGCTTAAGAGGAATATATAGATATATATATATATGTATGTATAAGTTAGTAAATGGAAGACAAGTATGGCCCTGGGTCTGGGTCTGGGCCTGCGTCTGGGTCTGGGTCTAGGCTTGGATCATAGTTTGGGCCTTTGTCTCGGTCTGCACATGGTCCTGGGCCTGGGTCTTGGCATGGACATGGGGAAATGCTTAATGTAATATATTTATTCTCTGTAAATGGCGCGAGGGTGCAGCAGCTAAGACCCGACCCGAGATTGCAACACAATCAACGGTAAGTTGAGGGCATAATAGGAAATTCACTTCAAAATTTAAACTCTGTTTTCCTGATCCGACGAGGAGGAGAAGATGAGTCTCTGTTTCTAAGAAAGAAGAAGGATAAGAAGCGGAAATCCAAACAAGACATTCACTGTTTGTTTCCATTCTTGTTTTCAAGATTAAGAAGAAGAGACTCTCTGGGTTTCCTTCCATTTTTTTCATTCTTCTGCAAATCGCTTCTGTGGTAAGAAAAAGAGAGATTCAACCTCTGTGTTTTCTTTTAGGCCTTCTCTGTTCCAAATCGAGAGAAGGGATTTACAGTTTGTCTCCCTTCTTGTTTCGAAATAGAAGAAATTCTCTGGGTTTCCTTCTATTGTTTTCATTCTTCTGCAAATCGCTTCTCTTTCCTTGCTTCTGTGATAAGAAGAAGAGAGATTCAGTCTCTGTTTTCTTTCAGCGTTTCTCTCTTCCAAACAAACCGTTGAAACCTTTCCTTCTTCAGATTCTCTATCGCCTGCGAGAAAGATTTCAAGATGGATGAAACGTTGGAGATTCTTGCAGCTGCCAAGAAAGCCGCTGATTCTGCAAACATAAAGGGTATACTTCGCGGTTCATCTGACATTTCCAGATGTGTTGATTGTTTGAAGAAGCTTGAAACCTGTCCCTTCAACGCTGAAATCATCAACACCCACAACATCTACAAGAAGCTTCAAAATCTCTGCAAGCACAAGAGCAGAAAGATCTGCTCTGCAGCTTCCCAGCTTATCGATGTGTGGAAGAAGAGAGAGATCGAACTCTCAAAACGTTCGACGCGGCCCGGTGTCATTCGCATCAAGTTGCGCCCTGCACCTCCTGCTCAGCCTAGTTCTGACAATGTTTCAAACTCGCCCCCTCTTCAACCCTCATCTCTGAAGATGGAAGAGTCAACCAAAGCTTCGAACAAAGGGCTCATCATTCGCCTCAAGATGCCATTGCAAACTCCTGTTCAACCTTCATCTCAGAAAGTGGAAGATGCACCAAGAAAAAAAGTCAGGGCCATGCTTGAGGAAGCCTTCTCAAAGGTAGCATCAGAATCCAGGGGAAAGATTGGAAAGAATATGTGTTTGAGGGATCCTGTTGAGGTTGCTGCAACGGTTGAGTCTGAGATGTTTGCTCAGATGGGTACTTGCCTTGGAAATCAAAAGACGAAGTACAGGTCCATTCTGTTCAACCTGAGGGATGCAAAAAATCCAGACTTGAGGAGAAAGGTTCTTTGTGGAGATATCAAACCTGCTGAGCTGATCAAGATGAAAAGTGAGGAGATGGCAAGCAATCAACTTAAGCTTGAGATGAGTGAGATAAGAAACAGGGCTGCACTTAGGGAAGAGTCTTTGATATGTCAATTAGCTGAATGTAATGCTGTATATTGATTTGTTTAGACCATTGGAAAGGAAGTAATATCCTGTATTGCTTCGTTTGAAAGAAATTTGATGTAATAGGTGAGTGCTACTGTTAGAGTCCTGTTGAAATTTGATGTAAGTGAATATGGCTCTTTGAGCCTCTATGAAAAATTCAATGCAATGAGATGAACATTTTGCTGATTCGAAATTTTTCATTTTGTGCTTCTCTGCTTCTGTTTTCCTTTATGGATTGTTCTTCTAGGCATCTAATGTACATAGCAACAATTTTTTGAATGAGGAATTTTGCTAGGGGTTGAATTGAGGGAATCCCCATGGATGGAGTCTTGATTGGTGGTGACTCTGCAGAGGAATTTTATAGTTGTTAGTTGTTTATTGTCTTCGATGGAGTCTTGAGAGTAATTATGTAATATTGTTAAAGATGAG